TGTAAGTATCACAACAGTATAAATATGCTAGAAAAATTGATAATGTGTTCCATCCAATTATGTCAGCAGACTATGAATCATATCCAATTATCAAGATGTATAAGTGCATTTTATGTGATGCTCAAACATCATTAATTTTGTGCTTAGCATAAGTTTCTCAAATGGTATGATTTCAGTAATTTCTTAGCATCAATATTACAACATCAATATAAATTCAATGTAAATTGGAAAATGAACATTTTCATCTTGTTTATATCTGCAAAAAGACATTTACTAAACACAAGAACATATTGAGCCAACACTTGCTATTGGAAAAAAGGATTCTGGATTGTCCCACAGAGAACCTAAATAACAGGATTACAAGGCAAGTCCCCGAGAAAGTCTAGTTAACCAGCCAAAGCATCCTCACAGTCTCATTAATTATTTTAATATATCTTAATATGGAAAATCAAGAAAGCAACTTTTCCATCTCTCCTAAAAAGTAAATTGACAATGTTCAGCCCTATCAATTGCCCAGTTAGCATTTATAGAGTTAATTCCTTTTTTGTCTGGAAAATTTCAGTTTAACATACATTAATTAGACCACAAACCTTTTCTTCCCTATAACTAATTATTTATATAGTATGGATTTAAATGTTTAACAGCTCATTTAATTAAAGGAATATCCCTACTTGGCTGCACAGAGTAATATGTTTATGTAATTATGTATCAATTTAGAAATCAAACAATTAAAATTTAAAAATATCGAAACTTACCTCAAAGTCTAAGTCTGAATATCGTGATTTTCTTCTCTGTTAGATATTTTTTTAAAAAGAAAAACAAATAGTCATATTTAGTCATTCAGATAAAATGAAAATAATTATATTCAATAATTTTGCTTCTTTGCATTATAAATATGTGAAAACTTTTATGTTTTCAAACTATTTCATCCACATTCCATTTTCACTTTGAACTTCCTTTAAAGTTTAAGAATAGAAAAATTATAGCATATTTCTCATCTTGACCTCTTAACTAAGGACAAATTTTCCCTATGAAAATACACATAAAAATGTCAGTCTTAGAGGACACTTCAGGTCTACTGGAGCAATACTTTATAGGTACAAAGGATTAAAAGCTGTGTAGGAAAAATCATCTAGCCACCTCAAGACTTCCCACCAACCAATTCTCTGTATCAAACCCTCTAAGTCTCATCTGCAATTTTCTCAGTATTGGAAATTCCTCCATGACGGGGAAGTCCTTCTAATTGCTAGTTCTTAAGAACAGATGTATTCTAATTTAGTGAGACAATGAACAAACCGTCCACACCCCAGCAAACATAGATACAGATATAAATATCTCAGTGTTGCTCTATGGCTATGACTCTATTAAACAGTTACTGAGTCTAGTTACAGATAAATATGCATTAATAAGTAATTAGGTAGTAGTTCTGAAAAAACTAGGAAATTATCAGAAATAAAAAATTAGGAAATATGATTAAATGGAAATTAGTGTAATGATGTACTAATGTAGGACCAACATCAGCTCCAAAAGTTATCAATTTCTTGGAACAATTATGATTGCAGGAGATACCTGTTATCTGTGGAAAGAGTCCTTTCAAATTTTAGAGAACAAAGCATGTTTACAATATAGATTTTTTTTCCACTAGGAGGGAAAAGGAATGAAACACTGGGAACAATGTAAAATTTAGGCAGTTGGAAATCTACGTAATCCTTTGGCTAACCTTCTCTTTTATCTTTTCCCTTTGCTCCTATCTCAATACCTAAAATCTCAAATTCAGTAACCGACCAGGGGGTCATACCCAAGATAGATGGTGGATTCTTCTAACTGCTGAACATTAGCAGATATAGTATGTAGTAGCTTATTGAAAAATAAGACAATTTGTGTAGTTAGAATTAAAATTGTTACTAGAGAAAGAGAAACTTTTAGTGAACACATCTAAAGTATGCTTCATTCGACAGAGGTAGATAGATGAAAAGAAAGCTTATTAGTCCTGAAATAGTTTGATTTTTGTAATGCTGCTTAAGACTGAGTATCCAGTCCTGAAGTATGCTGCAGGTGAGTGTAGAGAAGGAATGATTGTATTAAATGGTAGCTCGCCATGTCCATCTCACTTTGCTCCTCTGCCAGCCTTCTACTAGCCCTGGTGACATCCAGGAAGGGGAAAAGCAGGTGGGAAGGAATTTAACACAGCCTTCCTTTGCCATCTCCCCGTGCTGTATGACAATCAGGCTCCAACATACTGCATCAGGCTTTGCTGCAATATGCTAGACTAAATGTCAGAGTTTCCATTCTGCTCTTGAACGCTTTGCCTTCTTGGCACTGTGACTCAGCAGGACATTTTTGTAAGTATACATTAAGCAAAATTCTTTCCTAATACAGCAAAATGCAAGCATGGAAACACTTAGTTTTAAGCAATTATTATAGAACATTAGTCATAGCTTTGTGTTCCATTTGAAAATTAGATGGTGAAATCTTCTAAAAAAAGGTTCAGTGAGCTAGCAGAGTAAGAGGCCCAACTGCTGCTCATGGTGTTGTCAAAGGTCCTATCAGTCTTGTGTTAGTGTGTGGATGCAAAACTGTGTTGCCTCAGAACTGGAAATGGACACATGTTGCTAACTGCTCCCTACTTTAGGAGCAGGAAACTAGAACACCACCAGAGATGGATTCTGCCTCAAAGAACAGGTGTCACCAATGTTGACATAGATAGAGATTTCTCCCTCTATTTAATTCTAACAAAAAAGTATAGCGGATTAGAAGTTTTAAGGGATTAGACAAAGTAGTGAGAAACTGAAGCAAACAGATTTCAATCAAAACAACCTAATGATGGGGACGGGGGTGGTCAGAGGGAATTAACGAAGTGAAGACATAAAAATTACAGAGTGGGGGAAAAACATGGCACAAGGAAGTGAAAATAGTGTAGTATTACTCATATCCCCACAATACTGACCAAGCATTCCCACATTTTATATAAAGTGCTTTCACATTTGAACATGCTAGGTGTATAGTTAGTCTATGAGACTGTCAGAAAAGCATTACTTAGTATCCCTACTTATGAGTAACGAAGAACGGGGAGTTAGAATAACTTATCTACTTCACCTGGGTGGTAAGTAAATAAGCTGGAAATCACACTAAGGTCCTCTGATTCCAAACCTGCTTTTTCTCTACTCTCATGCTAACTGCTCAGTGGTAATATTTTATAACCAAGAAGCCTGAGATATTTTGCTTACTGTTACTAGAACTCAGCAAGAATAACATGCATATAGCAAGGGTAAGTAGGTTAACATTTACTTGTCAATTATATTTTAAAGGAGTAAAACCATCAGTGCATTATTCATTTCAGAGCTAAATCTGATGGCAATATACAATACTTTGTTTTGAGTAAAACAACTTAAAACAGAATAGTTGGTGCGCACTGATACAATAACATAGCAGATTTCTCCATCTCTATAGTGTGAGGTCCCCATTGCAATATCTAGTTTATCTTGAAGAAGTTTCTGGCATTGAGACATTTGTGGTATAATGGAGGAACCAAAATGTTGAATTCTGTTAGCACTTCCTCATGAAAACACTCATCCCTGTCTCCCCCCTTAGTAAACATGCAGTTGATCGGGAAGTCTTTTAAAACATTAGAAGTTTATGGAAACCATAACTGACTTACATGTTTATTCAACATGTCTCCGGGATCTCAGTGTAAAGATTGTAAATGGTTAGAAAATAATGGTTATATGTTTAAAAAAAAATGATACAACCAAGAAAACTGATCAAATCATATGTCTGTTATGTGGCCTCAATTTCCCAAATAACTTACTATAAATCATCCTTTTGTCACAATAAGTGATATTTTTTTCCATATTGTTTTTCTCCTCTAATTTCCCAACTTGGACTCTGACCTCAGCATTCCATTAAAACTCCTGTCTAGCTCTCTGATGAGCTCCGTCTGTTCAATTGCGAAGGTCAATTTTCTGTCCTCCTCTTACAATATCTCAGAAGCTTTTGAAAGTTAATAATTTCCTCATTAAAAACACTTATCTCTAGGTTGTTCCTTCCCCCTCCCTCTTATTTGCGGTAGTTCACTCTCATTTATCTTCCTTCTAATGTTGAGTTTTTGAGTTTCCTTTTTTTCCTATTCTCTCCTAGGGGGACATAATTAATTCTCATAGTTTTAAATATCACCTTTTCAAATTCCAAACACTCCTTCCTCATCAAAGAAAATGTTGGACACAGAGTTGGTCAAGACACCCTTCATTCCTTCCTGGCCCTCATCTTGCTCAACAAATCCACCAGTAAGTGCTGTCTGTTCTTCTGAAATACATCTTGATATTCTCTATCTCCACTTTCACTTCTGCAGTCACGGCATTCCCGTCCCTCCTCTGGAATACATCAACCTACTTCTAACTGTCCTCCAGCTTCACCTCCTCTTGTCCTACGTCTGTGTCCTAATCTTTTTTAACTTGAAACATCAAGAGGGAGGGATGGGAAAATGTTCATGACAAACTTTTGCTTAACCTTGCTTACATTTCATCATTTTACAAAAGTGAGTAATCTGGTCTCTTCTACCTGTTCCAACTTCATGTTAAGGAGCTTGCCCTTTGCTACTTAGGTCTTCTAATCCTATCAGAATATTGGAAACTCTTTCCTACCTTAGGACTTGGCAGTTGTAGATTCTTTTGCTTGAAACGTCTTCTCACCCTCCAGCTCCTCTTTTTAACTTACTTTAGAAGGCTTCTCAGACAGATCACCTTATGTACAGAAGTCTCTCTCTCATGTTTCAAGAGTATTTCTGAGCATGACACACCATTTCAGTCATTTGTTAGAGGCTAATTTTCTGTCTGTAGGATTTATTTACTATGGTGCAGGGTTCAAATTTGTCTTAATTCTGTTTCTCCAGTATTTAGCACAGGGCCTAGCACAATATTATTACAAATGAATGGAGGTGCTGCACTATGGCAGCTAAACAAATCTAAAATAATGTGACTTGGTTTTTCTGTTGTTTTTCTCAGGAATAATTTGGGAGAATTTGCATAAGCAAGTGGACAAAACACCCAAAGGAAACCAGTGTGAATGGCTCAATTGACAATCAAGAGGATCAAGAGAATTTACAGCGAAGCAGGCTTATCGTAATAGAGGGAAGAATTCTTTAGGATGATGTAAGGGTAAGAACATGCACTGTGGTGTGAATGTCTTAGAGGAACACTTAGCCAGTACATGCACAGAGATGTCTCTCCATATCTGTGTCTTGGAGCACGATGAATCATTTCTCAAAGGAAATACTTCATTGTTTATGTCACTGCAAATTAAACCGGACAAGGCACTAGAAGATTCACAGAGAAATAAATTCCACAGACTAGTAAATGGCAGTATGACTGCCATTAAAAGTTTCTATTGCAGAGTGAGCAATGAACCACTCAAGGATAAAGCTTTCATACCAAATTGGTTCAAAATATATGTGGAAATGAAACCTTTGAATAATTAATTTTGAAAAATAACTTCTATTTGAGCTAATTTCATTTGTATGCCTACACAAAAGACAAAATTCCCTAATCTAGGAGAAGACACAAAAAGCCAAGCAGGGCAAGGCTTCCTTTCAACACAGCTCCGTGAGAAAAAAAAAATGTAAAGGAAAAAGATGCTTCTGCACTATGGTCAGTTCTATAATGGGTTCTATTAGTGACAGAGTCTCCCAGTTCTCAAGTGAGGCCATAAAATTTTGTCTAATATCCTGAATATTGATTTAGTACAACATTAAAGCTTCTTCAGACATTCAAGATAGAATGGTAATGAAATAACACAACCTTACCTCTGAAGTGCTCCTTGCAATTTCAAAGGGTTTTCACATACATTATCTAATTTGAACCTCACAGTAGTTATAAGAGAGGCACCCATGATGTGACATTGTAGCTAAAATGTTTTACCTTTTGAAACCATTATGCAGAGAGCTCAATAATTCATGTTCAGAAGAAAACTGGTATGTAGCCTAGAGTGGTGTCTCCTACCCATTCATAAATTGAAGGAGACATATTTGGTTTTGAAAAAGTAATTTTGTAATCTATGATATCATTGTAGATAAGTTATTAAAGATCTTCATTCATTATAAGAAGAAAATTAAGGTTGTATTTGAGCAATGTGTTTCACAACAATTCAAGTGACAGAGGGCCCGAGAAGCCACAAAAGGGACCATGAAGTAACCCAAAGATTGGCAAGAGAAGACACAACTTTCCCCCTAAGTGGAATGGACAGGGAGATGGCAGAGACCTACACATGGAGGCAAAGGCACCTGGAAGGATCTGGAAGCACAGCTAAAGATGCAAGGGGGAAATTTTTCACCTAGGCGGAAGCCAATGACACAGAAACCTGTATCAACTCTGAGTGACACAGGGGCCCATGTGCCAAATAAGCTCAGGACATCCACACAAGTTGGGGAGATGGTTGAGTGAGGAAACACTATTTAGAACTATTAGCTACAAGCTATTGAATACCAATATCCAAAACAAATACTGCCCCTTCATATAATATAAATAGCACCACAATCCAGTAAACAGTATTTCATAGTCCTCAGTGGCTTGAGAACAACTGGCTCCAAAGCACCCAGGGGTTTTTTGCTCCACATATGTACCATGCACTCTATGTTTTGCTCATTAATTGAAGGTGAATGCCTAAAATGCTGATGACCATTTCATTCTTTTTACTTAGCCTTAAGCATAGTTATTAGAGGATATTTAGGATTTGTGAAAAAGTGTAACATATTAATATTGCAATCATTCCATAATTGTGGAAATTGAATCTAAAATTTTCAGAATTGCTTCACAAGTTCATTCTGGGAATGGATATAAACATTGAAAGTTGGAAGATAACACATTATAAGATAGAAGGTAATATTAGGGAGAAAGTCTGGATAGGCTTGTATGCCAAGAAACTTCATGCATTTATTAAAGTGTTTTATACTCAGTAATTGGGGGTTAGCTGAACAGACTCCCCTGGAGGTTGGAGCCTTTTCTGCTGGCACTGCTACTGGGGTTTAGGGAGCCTCCCTCTTTCTTTGTTGCCTCCTGCTTATTTGAATAAATACTTCCACCCACTCACCCACTCTTTGTCTTTCTTTTTTGCTCCCTCAACTTTTCTTCGCCTGCACTTTTCCTCATGAATACTGTGTTCTGTGCTACAACTGGTAGCTTTTACCTTCTTGTCTTTCTTCCACCCACCACATCCCACCTTGGCAATTTGTGAACACCCGCTCCTGCTGGAAGAATCTTCCTGAATTAATATGAACATCTTTTTCATTACAGCCTTGAAAGGATCACGGGGCACCAGGCCACCCTCTGCTGCCCTGACTTCACAGATGGATGTTCCTGTGACCATCGTCTCCCTTCTTATTCAGAAGGGAAGAAGACTCAGACTGTACCAAGGGTAAGGACTCACACATTCACTTCCTGTCCTCTTCACATTGTCTTGTAGGATTCAAGACTTGTCTACCGGTGATCCCTACTCTCCATGGAGATCTCCACCATCTTTCCTCTTTTACCCTATTGTCCGAGCATCTTCTTTCCCACTGGTTGAACCTGCAGACATAGGCTAACAGAGCTGACAACTTAATGCTTCACAATGTGTCACTCTGCTCATAAAGTCACACCACCGACCTTATATGGGCCACAGACCTATTCCCCAAATTTTAGTTAAATGCCCCTATACTTTATCCCTTCCATATCTTATTTGCCATAAGGCCAAGTGTCTGTCTTGGGTTAAAATGAACTTTAGAGTTACTGTCATGCATATGTTCAGACACATCACTGCCTTGTCTTGTCAGCATAACGTTGATCAGGACACAAAGATTCTGTTCCTAGATTTGCTATGCATTGCTCTACAACCTTGAGAAGATAAATGACTTTACTTTGAGGATTATAACAACTTATCCATTGCACAGAGGCGTTGTGAAGATTAATTAATTCACGTTTTTAAGGTGATTTGAGGATCTGCTAATGAAAGATGCTATATAAATGCTAATTTTTATTATTCATTCCCACAGCTATATATTCTCTTTCAGCTATCTCATAAAAATGGTTACTCTAAGCAATTATTAACTATTAAACTCTTTTAAAGAATGAAAAGGAGAAAGTGAATTTTCATTCTGAATACTGAATTTTCTTCCTTTTCAAGATCTAAGCCTTGTGATCTCTAAGTCATTTAAATGCAGATCTTCTGGCTGACTCACCATTATATATGATGCCTATACTTAATAAGGATATGAAGATTTGCAAAAATTACAAATTGAACAAAGTAGCACTTAGAAATACAGTCTATTGTTCAAGCAACATCTATAACAACAACCCAGCAGGTTTTTAGGCTTTTAGATGTAAAGCAGCTTTATAACAAGCAAAATATTTTAATGTAATTCTATTGTAAGCCCTTTAGCACATTTTAGTCATTTTATAACAAGACTCCATTTGGTCATTATGATTGCTTATGATGTTATGCTATTCATACTCACTGAAAATAATTTTAAAAACTTTATGCTAAATCACAAAACATGTAGTTTGTGCTTATGCATTATTATTATAGTAGAACTGCTAGTTTTGGGGACATGCAAGTTAGAAATATAGAAACAGTAGCTACTCTTTTGTGTAAAGGGATTGTCTAGAGGAAGCTTTAGGCATTATGGAATGACCTTGGCCTCACTGTTCCTCTAGCTTTGCTCCTGACGATTATTCTCCTTAGAAACCCTATTTTGTTTAACATTGATTAAGAATTTATCTATATTTTCATTTTGGTCTAAAATATCCTTTTATCCAATTGAGAAAAATCTCAAAATTATACCATTCATCAAGTTACGCTACCCTTGAAGGATCTTTCTTCATTTTGGCCCAGTGGAAGGCATGATTTTGAGGGGAGAAGAGAGGGACAATTGCCTCTGCACATTTTTGGACAACAGAACAATTAGCTTACTTCTGATGGCAAAAGCAGGCAACCAATTCTCTTTTGAAATCTATTAAACAAGAGATATGTGTGTACTGCATTACAGTACACTGTGTTTACAACAAAATTTTAAGGTAGAAGATGCAAAAGTCACATATAAGAGGATATATGAAGACATTACTTAAGTAAGATCTAAGGAGTATAGAGTAAAATATTAATGATATTGACAGCTATAGCCTACTTCAACTCATGGGTAGAAAAGAAGCTGAGTGGAGGAGTTTGCTTTTTCACCAAAGTCGGGGGGTTGGACCTCAGGGACCTGACTGTTAGCTGCTTAATTTACAATTTAGTCTAAAAATTTTAGCAGTCATCATTGTGTAAACTCTAAAAGTAAAATAACGCTGAACGATAGTGATCTAACATGATGTTAGCATTTATAACTTTCAAATTTTTTATTTTTAGTAACTGACCCTTAAAAAAATCTTGATGTGTGTGTAATCCCATCCAAAAGTTATTTTACCCATCAGAAGGCAAGAAATAACAGAAGGATCTTCTTTTTTAAAAAATGAGTGACTTTAGAAAGGGCATTCTGATGTATTACTGGAAAAAAACATATCCAGAGTCTTAGTTCAACATACTTAAAGTTCTTGAAACTAATGTGACTCTTCTACCCCAACTGAATGTCATATGAATCTATCTCTTCCTCTCTCTATATATATGTATCTTCAAACATCAAGGAAAGGATTGTTCAATTGCTTACCTCTAAAGAACTCATTGATATCGTTGATCCAGTTTCACTTCTTGATAGTCCTGCATTATCATCCAACTCAGAGGCCATGAAATTTTTCACAGCTGTACGAGGCTCAAAGGGCAAACTCTGCATGTGTTCCTGGGGTGTGAGATGTTGATCTAAGTTCATATTGAACTGGTCCATTACAGGGGGATTCATGTTGAATTCAGGATTCACTTTGTAGTGCAATAGCCTTTCATGTGGCAAGGTATCCATGCCAATATTCATTTTGCTTTCTTCTTTCATTGATGGTTGGGTATTTACAGAGCTTCTGGGCATCACAATATAGTCACTTTCCATCATTCTTTCTTGAGGATGGACTATGTCCATATCGGCCCCTCTCAAATTGTCATCCGTACATAAGTACACAGTTCTCCGTAATTCACTGTTCTCTTTTTTCAAACATTGATTGCCCAGCTCATTCATACTCATGGGCATGTGCAGACCAGTGGGTTGCTGGATAATGACTTTGGAAATGACGTTTCCAGGCAATGTTGAGTAGCTTAATCCTTCAGGGTTTGTACCTTTCTCCTCTTCATCATCATTTAGAGAAATCCTAGAGAGTGTTCCTGTTATCGTTGCTGCTCGGCAAGGACCAATATCCTTATGAAGAACTGTGAATTAGAATTGAAAGTTAATGTGTGTGTATTTTTATAATTGTAATGTCTCCTTAATAAAACATTTTTTTAAATTATAAATCTACTTTTATGTACATGGTCCAGATAATCTACTGATTCTGAGCTACTCTCATAGATCTGAGGTAACCCACAGCTAAAAAATATCTGCAGATGGACTAATAGACTCTGAAAAAAATCTCAGTGTCCTCTCCTTATTTTGCATAACTTTTCTGGGAAAAAAGCAGAATACCAAAAATGTTTTATCCCAAAAATCTATGGCAAAGGTTTTATAAATTGAGATATTCATACTATTTTAACTGTTTCTTAAAGGTTTTTCCCCTAAGGTATTCTAAGTTCTGTTCATTAAAATGCTTTCTGGAAAAGGTAATCAATGAAAATTTCATCCTACTGCATCAGAAATCCTTTCAAAAATTATGCATGTTGAAAATTAATGAGCATTTATCTATGAAGTCCATATGGTCAAGGTAGATATGGGGTCAAATTATTTATCATCTTCAGTTCTTCACAGGAGAAGAAAGAACATTTTTTAAAAAGATCAATGCATTTGCTGGAATGCCCTTGAGGAGATATTAAAATTGCCAATGGACTATAAGCAAAAAAAAAAAAAAAGTTTCTGAAACCTTCATTTCATTTTAGGCCTGGAAAATGACTTGGAACAAATTGAGGAAGCAAAATGAAAACATAAACCAAAACAATTAGCATGAGTTCAGATTCCTTTTAACTTTTTTTTTTTTTGGGGGGGGGACTCTAAATAAATGAAGTAATGTTCTATGAGAATTTGAAGCATGCTTAGTTGTGAACAACTGTCAGTTTTGCTATAAAAAAATGAAATTCTAAAAAAATATTCTTGGTAATTTTGATATTGAAACCACAGTGAAGAGCACCACATCCAACCTGGCTAGCCCTGTGCACTGAATGCTGCCCAACCTAGAAAGCAGAGCAAGTGGCATTTAAAATTTCACTGGACATAGATAATTGTAAAATGTATGGTTTACTGTCTCCTCAGCTTAAAAATGTTATTCCCTCTGAAAATATATCAGTAATGAATTGCGTTTGCCAGGAACAATTTATGTGAAAACATAAAAGGACAGGTATGGTAAATTAATAAATTTCATGATATTCTAAATAAAATGCTTTAAAAATACCTTTCAGTGAAGAATACCTTTAAACCTTAACTATACATTTTTCTAAAATTTATAGCAGTTAAAGGAGAGTTATGGGAACTTACAATATTGCTTTAAGGACATATAATTTAACATTTATCAATATATTGTAAACTGTAACGCAATTCTTGGTACGGAATACTGTTTCTTAGTCCACATTTGTGCAAGATAAATTCAGTTTTACACAAATATAGTGTGGTTTGCAGTTATAGCCAGCACATTTTTATCAAATGGTACACTATACTAAAAATTTGTATATCTTAAATATTTGAGGGAAGAATGCTACTTAATTGTGTTTACTTTATAGTGGAGACATACCTGCCTTTGGACTTGCTTAATAGGCTATCTAAATTTTGAATGCACAATATGAACAAATCTATACCACCTACACACACAAAGATGTTGTTGAAATGATGGGACTTTTGAGAGAAATTAATCAAGTTGTGAAAGCAAAATTTGCAAACAAACAAAACTAAAGCACCTGAATATTTTGCATAATGAGATATATACTTAACCCTTTGGGGAAGTGAATTTCAACAAAACTTAGAGAAAAGATTTTTCAGATAATGAATTGAGGCCTTAAAATTATACCTCAAAATGGAAAGAAATCTCTAGAAAAACTCAAGCTCCCTTGAGTTCAGCTAAAAAGGGCACACAAACAAAATATTTGAAAAGAATTTTTTTCTAATAAAAAATAGAACTGGACTGTTAGGAATACTAATGAAATTTAGGGACAATGGGTAATTTAACACAAGAGACAAGATTAATACTGAAAGACCACAGCTTGTGGAGGAGGATGGTCTAATACAGTGGTCTTCCAAATTTAGCATGCATCAGAATGTCATAGATGGCTTCTAGAAACTGATTACTTAGGCAACCCCAGTTTCTGACCCAGTTGGTCTCAAGTAGGGTCTGCCAGTGGTCATTTCTAACAAGTTCTCAGGTGGTGCTTACACTTCTGGTTTAGGGATTGCACATTGATAACTGAGTTTAATGTTAACAGCGGTTAAAGAGAAAACACTCTGCTCCTATTTTGCTTTCTATCAAGGAGAAGAGTGAAGATACACTAAAGTAGGCTGAAAAGAAATTAAATTGAAGGTAGGAAAATAGGAATGAAATGAACAATTAGTTATTTTAAATAAATCCTGATTTTTCAGATCCATACAAATCACATCACACTGTAGAGCACAGACGTGGATTCCTCACACTCTACACAGGCCCACTGTGGGTTGCCAGGTCATGAACATCTACTATTCTGTTATGACCATATACTCCATAGAGTATGTTTACTAAATTCAGGGGTATGAAATTAATCTCTCATTTTCTTGTGACTCTGATAAGAACTGTGATCTCAGACTCTGAAATGGTTAAATGATTAATGGTTAGGAGTTGAATGTGACAATTACACTTAAAGGAAGTCTGCATGGGGTGGATGATGGGTGTCTTACTGAGCACAGTGGAGTTTAATCCTCAGTCTTCTCATTCCCC